ACTAGCACTAACCCTCGTGCGCCGTGAATATGTTCCGCAATGACCGCTACAGGCCAGAGAATATGGTGGAGGCAATGGTGAAGGACACTAGTAGCCATTTGAGTGCACTTGAGACTGCACGCACTGGGCTGGAATCTAAGATTGCCGAAGGCAAGGATGAGGACGAAATTCGTGTGGCCACGCAGTCATTGGTCAAAGTTGTAAAGGATTACAAGACTGCGGCTGGACATGTCAAGAAAGCAAGTGCCAAACCGAAGCCAAAGGCTTCAAAGGCCAAGCAGCCCGATCCAGTTGGCTCTGCTTGAGCGTTTTGATGTGCGATCTCAAATCTCAAGGTCGCGGTAAGTGATCCTCGGGGGGAAAGCGATTTTGAAGGCACTTGTTTCACTTAAGCAGGAAGATACTTAATGGTTGATCTCATGCTTCCCTCGGGGCTGGGGTCTTTGAGGTGGCAATGAGAGTATTGCCATTCGGTGCTGTACAACTAGCAAAGAGCTAGGACCAAACCTCTTCAGCTAGATGTGCAAGTGGGACGAGGCATGAAAGACATGCAGCTGATCTGAAAAAAAACTTATGAGCCAATTAGACATGCATCACCTTTCAACAGAGTTTGATATGACAGTGCACCCTCCCACCGCAGGTCAGCTTGCAGAAGACGAGATGCCTTTTGCGGACACGTTGCTGGCCTCCTTGGGGCGTGGAGCAACTAGTTGCGCCGAACTTCAGGAAGCAGCGTATAGCATGGTACAGGAATCAGGTGGGGCATGCTCAAAGGTCACCCGCTCAATAGCCAGAATTGGGTCCTATGGCAAGTTTCCAGGGAACTGTGAACGAGATCTATTCCGTGTGCTTTCCCTTCCTGTAGTGGCTGAGCATATGCTTTGTTATCAATGTTGTTTCTTTGTGTTGATTTGTCTTTTCTCATCATGGACCACGCGGTATTTGCGTTGCCTCAAGGAACCGCAGATGGTTGAAGTTCCGTGCAAACACCCACAAAGACACCATCAAACTAGTACCATGAGGGTGCCAGTGGTCTTGGTGCATGAGCTGCTCAGTTGGCTAGCTGAACATCGCCGGTTCTACGTATCTCCGGAGGCAATCAAGCAGTTCTGGCAAAGGTGGAAGCAATTTAAGCCATACCATCCAGCTCAAGAAGCTGAGTTGCATAACCCTTTGGGAATAGCAGGGGACGATGCAAAATATACCCTTGGGGGAGCCAAGATCGTAATCATATGTGTGAACATGATTTTGGTCGATCGCGCAAAGAAGAGTCAGTCCAATGATATCAGAACCAATGGTCACTAAACCTGATTAGCAATTCTTTTGTGCACAAGACTTTGTTATCTTAGTTGGGTTGGTCACGCTTTCCAGCCAGGGTACCGAATTCTGAACTCCGAGGTCTTGATGTTCACCGGCTTCTCTTGGCCACCTTCCGCTGTGAGCTGTCACTGGGGCCTGCTACTTTGGATCCCCTCTACCGGGTGATAGCGTGGAGCCTGAACGTTTCTAGTTCAACTTTATGTTTTGCCTTCCCATATCAAATACGTATATAAAGGTATAGTTGTGCAGGGCTGGTTTTGGACACAGAGGTTGCGTATTCGGGTATCTATCCATCAGTTGACATGATGGGCCACAAATTGACTGGAGCACGTGCTTCCAAAGCTGGTTCCAAAATTCATGGTGGGCCGTATGCACTTTGCTCCATCAGGTCAGGTGTTGCCAAATATGTGTTCTTGCAACCTAAAAACCAGTGTGGGATAGGTCGACCTTTCTTGTGATCCAGGGGCGACTGGAAGTGGCATCGAGAATCGTGGAACATGAAACGACATTGGGCCTTCAGGGATGGAGTATGCTTCAAGTGTTTTGCAACCGGAGGCCACGGGCCACATGTGCATCTGGCCAGGAAAAGTTATTTTTTTGGCAAACCCTTTTTGTGGGTAGGGGAGGAATCTTAATGCATGGGTGTGTTGGCATACAGTTTTCTTAACTAGTACGGTTTCTTTTCTAATCTTGCACCAACCAAACAAGGTATCACAACATTGACAACTTTGAGCAGATTCCCCGGATGAACCCTGCACAGTTCTTCACAAGGGCATTGAAGCCTGGTGCCTGTTTTTTCTGTTCTAGTTTAGAATTGTTCACCCAACCCCTATAAATACAAGTTGTGTTTTGGATTTGGCTTGCAACCACATCCAGGAAAGGGTACATTAACCCATTGGCATTCACAGTGGGGTTTTGCCCTCAGAACATCAGATTCTGCATGATGCATGTGCTGCATCTTGGTGTGGCACACTTCTGCACCGGAGGGGCACTCCTATGCCTCATGAGTTTGGATTTCTTCGGCACCTTTGCCAGTACTGTTGTAAGCTTTACAAGTTTTACCTTCACCCCCCAAAATGCATCATTGCATGAGGCCTAGGTCTACCCTTCCCATATTGAGGCCGAGGGACGACCAACCTCAAGGATCAGCTGGAGGTGCTGACCATGCGGTTCCGGCAGTGGATCGCAGCCAATGCAATCCAGTATCTAACACGTGAAAACATTTACGTTTTCAATTACTGTAAGAGGTTGACAAAATCTTTTAGCTGTTTGTCGGATATCTGACTTTTTCTAGGTATGCAATGCATTTTATCACAACGGGTCATTTTGATGCAGTTCGAGGGGAGCTCAAACTGAAAGCCTATGCTACACGGATCATGGTAACGTTCTTGGCCGTATGCCTACGCTCCGCGTGCAATGCACGTGCCCCCTCAGAACAAAGTGTAGAACTTCGTCTTTGCACACTTTTGTTAACCCAACTATCCAATTGGAGCTTGGATGTGGAGACGTGCCCAATTGAACTTACTGCAGAACAAGCGCAGCGCCTGTATGATACCGGTATGGAGTTCTTGGTCCCAAATACGACGAAATGTGGTTGTTGTTGTTGTTGTTGTTGTTGTTGTTGGTGCTGTTGTTTGTTTTAAAATATGGAAGCTTGTGAAGCGCATATACATGCATAAAATCCTTGAACCCGCGACGCCGCGACGGGCCAAGCAAGGTTCTGCAGGACCTACAAGGCATTGTCTGCATATTTCGTCAATCGTGGGATTGCTCGGTTCCCTGTACTTCCCAAACTCCATGTGCCATGTCATCAAATGGAGTGTGGAAGAGGGTTTTGGAATTTTGCCTTTTTGGCCCATGTGTTTACAACCTGGGTGAATATGTGGGTCCACATCCTCAGGCATTCATGGAAATCCTGAAGGAGCAGCGAGAACTTCAAGAGAATTGCCGTCCCTTGGGTAGGTATTTCCTGTGTTTTTCAACATTACCAACTCTGGACTGGAATACCACATGAGTGGGAACAAATTTTATTTGGTATTTATTCTGTTATGTGTGAGGTGACTCGCATTGTTACGGTGACGAAGACTTCATGGGTGAATGTAAGGCTCTAGCGAGGAAAGTCCACCGATGCTGGCCCTGGGTTCAACCCACCCTTTTTCTATTTGTATTCTTTTGGTTTGCTTGTGTCGTGCACCTACTAGTCAAGGCCACATGTGTGTTGTCATATTGCTGAGTGGTGATGTCTAAGGACAGGCCCTTGAACTGCGTGTGTGCATGCGGTGGCTCCTTCGGGTGAAACATCCACGTGTGAAGCGTGGGCCCGCATGAGAGAAAAGGGGTGCTGGGAGTGTGATGCTGCACTTTGACCTAGGGTAAGAAGTATCGGAAATCGAATCAAGATTGATGTGACCATATTCTGCCTACATATGGCAATGTCAAGGTGATGTGCTCAGAATCTTCCTACGGGTCTGAATGTATGAACTATTTACCCACGCTGGATGCTTAGGGCTTGCTCCTAGTAGCGATGCCAGGAGCTACTAGTAGCGTCCTTGCTC